TTACAATATACCGACAAATGGGCGATATATTTAGCAAGCACTCCATTGCAAGGGATTATCTTAATAACAATTGGATTACCATTTTTGGAGTATCTGTTTTTCCGGTAAACATATTCGTTTCATTATCAGATCCAAAGTTGTTTTTAATTCTAATTTTACGAATAAAAATGGGCAATATTCCAGCTATATTTGGCGTAGCATTGACCAGATGGATTTTAGATATTTCGGTAAACCAATGGAACATTATGGAGACGCTTGCAGCTATCATGTATTTTATCGGATCTTCAGTGTTCGCTGCTTGGGTTGGTGGTGAAGTAGTTATTGATTGAATAATATAATACTAAAAAAATAAATAAATTCCATCTGATCATTATATCTTTCTAACGAAATTCGGTGTTTTGCAATGAAAAATTGCTATATCTTTTTCTATATAAAAGGAAAAATAAAATAATAAGTTTCGGACAGTGTAAAATACAAATAGATGGATCCATCAGTTCTCGACAAAAATGCACATACTTTTTCAATACAATTTCTTAAATTATTTTACAGTTAAAAATACTAATTAAAATGATATTAAGTCAAATAATAACAAAATCATCTGGTATATCAAAATCGTCTACATTCACTCCATCAAACAATCGTTGATTGCATGGAGATTTAGAATCATTGAAATGGTGATAAGGCTCTTTAGGATCTATCCAAAGTCCACATAAGTAACAAAAATGCGTTTCGCAACGTGTGCATAGCATATGATTACACCCCATTGACTTTTCAATGGGTGTCTCACATTGAGGGCATAGTTGAGTATTAGATTTCACCCATTTACTCGTTTCTAATTCAGCAATAGCATCACGAACCAACTTCTCTAAGTTTTTGGTGCCATAACGAAGTTCCATTATCGCTTTAGTGGACTCATCTGCTTTCATATATTCTTCGACTATCTTTTTAGTATTGTCCATATAACAAGGAGTACTAGCTCCATGCCTTTTTCATAATTATAATTTTGTGTCAATATTGTTCAATATGTGGGAGCGAGTCAATAAAAATCAAGCAAATTTTTAAAAAAATTTTTTGTTTAAATTATTTTATAAACTTATATAATTAATTTAAAAAAATTTTTATAAATTATTTTTTATTAAAGTTTTATAAAAAAATTTTATTAAAAAAATTTGCTTGGCTTCCATGACTCACCTCACCCCCATGTGTATGATAATCGTAAGGGATATGAATTGATAATCTAGGTCACTCACCAAGTTCGTTGACAAAACCAACAGAAAGCAAATGTACATTTCGTACATATGCAAAGCTTTTCAAAATTGGAATCTTTCTTGACGGGTGCTTGACAAATTATACGGGGGCAAAAGGTCACTAAAGGATCAGTCTCTAGTTTCTGCTTTTCTAATAGATCTGAATATCTTTTTCCCATTTCAGCCCCAACTATTTCTGTCACTTCATCATCAGCCAATTTATGTTGCGATTTACAACCAGGGTCAGGACATTTTATTTGTAAAATGAACCCTTCACGAATAAGCATTACAAAATATTCACGAAGACATTCCTGACAAAACACATGTTGGCATGTACGAAGTTGAAAACATCGTTCACCACGTTTTTCCTCAAGACAAATACCACAATTAAAATGATCATTGGCAAAATCCAGATTCATGGCTTGTTGATTATATGTATGTATAATCGTTTTTAGCATGGACCCACCGATATAATCTAACGGGATTAACGGTTTCATCAAAATCACAAACAAAGGATGAAACGAATCAAAAAAAAAAAAAAATACAAATAAAAAAGTTGCGAACCGTCGTTAAGTCTCAAAGGGAATGATATTTGTAAATAATCCAAAGCTTCATGTTGTATGAATTCTGCAAAATGATCTAAGACCTATCAAGAAAGTAATAGCTACATCATAATATGATGTAAATGTCAAATGATTGGAATAAAAAATTATTAGAACATACCACATCCTTTTTTTCCTCCCAAATTTGTAACAATTTTCTTTCTAATTTTCTTAACCAATCCCAACGCATCCAAAGACATTCAAGTTCGAATTCCAACGCTTCTTTACTTGGATAATCACTTGGCATTGAAAATATGATTTTGACTGGAGGGAGATACCGAACTTTAAGCGGAGGTTCGCCGCCGCCATTTCTTTCTCCAGTAAAAAATATCAAATTTTCTTGAGAAAGGGAAATTTTAATCGAAAGAGCTCCTCTAAATCGAGGGGCTTTCGTGTTTTCTGTATATGTGAAATCTTGTTCGTAAATTGCCTTATGCAATATGAGGTTCCAAGTTGGATAGCACACCCAATGAGCTTGAACTACGTATGATCATTACTATTACTTTATAAACAAATAAAATGCAAGAGCATTATTTACCTTGATTGCCGTTATCTCATTTTCTTGTTGTATTTGACAATCGTCTTCTGAATCAAACATTATTGCTTTATAATGTATAAGAATGTATAAGGCGTATGAAAAAATTAAGTTAA